CGTCTGTATGCTAATACATTTACAATAATTATATCTGTCGTAGTTCCACATCGTATTCTATAATATTATATAGGTTAGGTAATACAAGTATACTTAAACCAAAACCGATCCTAAAAAAAGTTATTGCTTCGTAAATTATATAAACACAGCGAAAAAACCTGAGTAAATTGGTAAAGTTGTCATACTTATACTGGCGGTGGCAATACATTGTCCCCCGCTGCTTGCAATATCACTCACGTCACAGCCTGTCCAGCGTTAGTTTTCATTATCAGTTATTGCAAGCCACTGTGATATTTGTAATCATTATCGTTAAGAAAACAGGCAAATAAATTGCGTAGGCTATTTGTTTCTCTACCACTTGTTGGCCCTTGATGATACCTGGGAACGTCATTTAAATTATGTTAATGAAGGAAAGAAGTCTACCCTTGATATATACGTATGTAGATTTGTGTCAACAGACGACAGCTTGCAGTAAAAAAAATATTTTAATACCATGCATAGTTAGGACCTCGATCTTATTATTTTATTAATTGAATATATATTTATGAATATTCGATTAATATGACGCTATAATTGGATCTAAAGTTTTTTTAAAGATTTGTTTGAACTAAAAGAGACAGTAACTGTTATGAAATTGAAATGAAATTTAAAATTACTAATCCGGAAACAAAGCGTAAATATTTTTGACACAAATAAACATTATTTTGTTTTTGGTAACTGCCCGTATAAACACATAAATATTAGAATTTGCTTGTGCCTATCACATCCCCGTCAAGAATAGTTGCTAAATATTCATAAGTAGTATTCATTTATTTATTTACTTATTTTTGGGATTGTCCCTACACTTGAGAGGGGACCCGTTCCCAGCAGTGGGACGTATAAATAAATTGATGATGAATGAATACGTAGTAAGTAGCAAAAAAACATGTACGTTATTTTCAATATTTTTCTCTCCCCACCAAGTATCCTCTGCGATCAAAAGCACGATGACTCTCGTTCACCCCAACGACCTTACTTTTTACTTCGCGTCACTCTTGCTTGTTTGGCGATACCTCTATGTTACGTTCACAACCTTGGTGCCACACCTGGCACACCCTACCCTGGAGCAAATATTTTCGTTACAAAATATACGACGGCACTTAGGTCGCCAAACTCTAAATATCTCTTCTAAACTAGGAAATTCAACCACATGTTTATTATCTCGAAACAATGTCAGCATTGCTAATATCACAAGACATTTTTAACACATAAAGTATTTGTTTTATTAGTGCAACTCATAGTCGTTATCACATAAAGCTACAGAAGCGGCAGCGTCGTATGTTTTTTGAAATGATAAGATATGCAGTCGTAACAAGGCAATCTTCCAAATGAGGTTTGAGTGTCTGGTTAATGATCTGGTTTCAGCTTGTTTGTTAAATTATACAATTCACATTATTATCCCATAAACCTTCCTGGTTACAGTTGTTTGGTTCGTTACTCTTAGTAATGTATTACTGTGTACTTCGTATTTCGCTATTTATTTTTTACATGCAACTTGTTAATCTTTTTCTTGTCACAATTGTATTTGTACCGTATCAACCATACAATGAACGATATTTTGTGTTATTCAATAGGACATAGATATAGAATTTGTATACGTAACAAATTGTATTAATTTCGGACTACGTTATTGGACTACGTATACGTTGCGAGCTTAATGTGTTTTACCCATTTATCTATTATGAAAATGCATCGTGTGTGATCACTTAGTACTGTTGTTAAGTTCTCATCGCTTTGTCGTTGGTCAGCATATTTGCCTGATATTCGAAATTCCAGGTAGATGTATCCAGTTTTATGTTAATGATAGGACTTGGGGGTAACAATAATAGTGTAAACGCTCTATGTAAGTCTGACACAAACGTAGACATAAACAGTATTCGAGCTTCAAAACATTTAGGCATGTAACTGATTATTACGAGAGGACGGGAAAACTTAATAAAGCTCAGCGTTCAGATAATGCGCTAGCAAATCTGTGTTAGGACGTATCGAAGCTTATCGATATAATACGACGTTTCGCTATAAATAATTTTACAAAAATAGAAGGGTAGGACACGCTCCGTGCTCCTGAAGGGAAGCGAGGCGGTCACGGTGTCACAAACAAGAATAAGCTGACAATACCGTGCCTCAGCCTGCCTACAGGGAGGCGGCTATCTAGGTTACGTAAGTTGAATTTGCGTCATGCGGCCAGACAGTACAGTTTTGACGGGAAAATGTCACTGTTTCCGTAACTCAATAGTAAAAAAGTATCCCTCAATCTTCGATGACTAGAAAATATTGTTGTAATTCAGTCAATTTGAAATATGGCAATTATGTAACTTGGTTGCCCCCAACTCTCATGTTAGCCTACATCTCATATAAGACACTAGATGGAATCAATCACAACATGAACAAATTCACCATAACATACTTTAATTGGTTGCTGCAAATACTGTGCCTGCATTTATATGATCACCTTTGAACAATATCGTGTTTATTTTAATCACATTGTTATATCAGTGATAGACAAAATAGGTCAAGCCTGGGGTATCGTACAAAAAGGTGTCGTCACATATTCTCAAACAATTTTTATTTATTTCATGGGGCTACTACATGGGGCTAAGCGTTATTAGAAAGATAATAATAATAACATATAATAACCAGAAAACATTAGAAGAGAACCTGTGGAATAAACGAATTTACTAGTAAAGTTGCACCTTGTTTCATATCTTGGATTGTATGGAACCACAGACATATATCTAAATAGACACCACAAGTACCGCGAACTGTATGAAAACGAAGCGTGCTACATTTTTTGGGTCTCCGATGACGTCACAAGCGCTATTTAGTTATGGAAAACCTATCCTACCTAACCTATATATCAGAATCGAGAACGATGTTGCATCAAGTAAACATCACTAACCGTAAAATTTGACCAAGAACATGATGTAGCGGCCGTACCACGAAACTCATACGAAATTTACGCACGAACATTACGAAACATTACATTTACGAACATTATACGAAAGTTACGGACGTTCGATATTCATAGCCTACTAAATAAAGACCACAAGTGTAACGTACCAAGTAGAAGCAGCAATGTATTACGAATCATGCTGCATACACTCGTTTGCATATTTGTATTCTCGAAATTTACTCAAAATTAAAATAATTGATTTTATAATAAATTATGCATATTCTGATGACAAAATTGCATAACTGTGGAAGGAAACGTCCCTGTTTATTTATCTTCACATAGTAGCTGTGGTGTTTTTGCAGTTTCTAATCGCACAATTAGGCATTTTTCGTGTTTTCAACTGATGTTTAAATACGATAACGGCCGGGCGCGTTCTGGAGCGTAGCAGCGGCAAATAAGCGTTTATAGCTTACATTAGGCACGCAAAGTAAAAATATATAACAAATTACCTAACGCACTAAAAACTATAGAAAGAAACTCCACATTTTATAATAAAATTAAACTATTACTAAACCAAAAATGCTAATACTCAATTAATGAATATTTTGAAGATGACTCCCATAAATGACATTGCTACCGTTATGTAACTATTTACTTGTATTTAAATTGTATTGAAATTGTATTGAAATTGTATTAATAAAGTTATATGTAGATCATAAGAATTACCATATTTGTTATACCCTTACTGGGTGCATGTAACATTTTGAATGTAATGTGTATATGCAAATAAATAAATAAATAAATAAATAAAGTATACACTTGCGGCGTCTACTTAGATACATGTCTGTATGTAGAACGCTATAATTAACGAGTACCGAGTAACGAGTAACGAGTTGAATCGCAATTGTTACAACCCATACACTATCCCAGTCAATTTTGGATTGGGATATTCTATTTACCCAAAACCGATGCTTAGTCGAAGAACCAATAAGTCAAGTAAATCAGATCAAATCCCAACTCTCACATTATGCTTGAATATATTGAAAAAATAGCGGACCGTTTTATTTCCAATTCCGTTAGTGGCGAGCTTCTAGACGTCGAATAGTAGGCAACTTCGTATACTTACATATTTTAACGATAGCGGAACGTGCCAAAGTGATCGCTAATGGAGGATTCCGCTTACTTATGCAATTTCACAAATTAATATAGTCTTTCACCGCACTTACAATATCTCAAAACCACGCACTCGGTATTGTTAATTGGCTTAAGATGTTCATTGTTCTATATTCGTAAATCCAGCCAACTACGCAATAATTGTTGCTAATATGAAATATATATTTTATGAATTTGACGGTTAACAATATTCTTTAAATAATACATATATAAACCAAGAAAAGATCCCGGTGGTCATTGAACCCAAAAGATAGGAGACTGTGAAGCAAACCTCTAGCTTGTGGCAATAACACTTTAATCTGCGCTGATCTCGGCTGAATATTTGGATATTTCGAGGCCCTTCATTTACATTTATTTATAAGAACCACTACCAACATATCGAATCTGAAAAGTACCGCAGATCCTACAATACTGACTTGTTTCGTTGCATCGCGGCGTGTGCGGTTTCAAAAGGGTAGACATGTGCGTACACATTACACAAATGTCTGCTGAGAGATTTTTCAACTGCTCCGGGTAGACATCAACTGCTTGCGATTGTTGTAATATATGTTGTATTGATTTGTGCTACGGAATCCAAATACAATCGCTGTTTGTTTCGTATTCACAATATCAATTCCAGAAATGTGTAGCTACTACTCGTAAGCTTTGTCGGCTCAGCGAATTGTTATTGTAATTTTTTTAGAAATTAAAATGATTTGTCATTGTTACTTTAATACAATCACTGAACGAATAGTGTAATGATACTTGTATACGTAATGTAGGGTTGTAATGATACTTGTATACGTTATAATTGGTTTCAAGAACATATTATGAGATGCTGCGAGAATGCCATGCGAACGTACTTTATTCGAATTAAAGCGGAGTAGTAAAAGAAAGATTTTTTTCCTCATTTCAGATCCGAAAAAGGTGTAAAAGTTAAAGTGTAGTGATATTGTAAAGTGTGATGGAGTGTGATCGTGTTCTGTGCTCCAAGCGGATAGGCGTTAAACAGTTACACTAAAAGGTAATAAAACGATGCTAAAGACGTCCATTTTATGGGCGATGTAGTGAACTGAAACTTACGACAGAGTTGTTTAGAGAATAAAAATTAATTAAGCTAATACGCTACTTACCTACCGCCGAGTTTAGTCAAGAAAATAAATTTTAATGCCTACATGTAAATACACAAAAAGAAATAGAATTTTGGCAAAACGCCATCTCACGCGTAGCGACGATGTCTATATTTGAATAGGGTTTTTGCTGTTCTTTAAAGTTACTATCTGTTTGCAATTTCAAGCAGAGTTATGTTAAAAATTATCTTCAAGCTACATAGTCACTTACATAGAAAGCATTTATTGTGAACTTGAAATATTTACCACATAATAAGTTATAGATGTAATTCATATTGTTTTGATACATTTCAAGGTCGATAATGGACATATTATAATATGGCTACATAGACACGAAAGAACTCTTGATTTATCACCGCCTTATAAATGGCTTGTTTTCGCCAAGGATACGCCAAAATAAGTGTTTCGTTTGCGTCTCGCCCTCGCTTGCCGCCGTCCTACAATATTCAGAAGAAAGAAAACAGCTATAATTTATAGTGAGTGAGACGAAGATAGGGATATGTAGCAGTAGAATAGAGAAATGTGAATAAGGCACGGAATTAACTGTTGACGAATCAATGTAAATATCACATCGTACTTAACCACTTCACGTAGCACAACGTAACTTAACCTAATAAGGTATACAAAACTACCATCCTTAAAATCCAGAGCGTCCATTGTTTTTTAATTTTATGTATATTTGTAAATAAAATATTCTTTCTTTGTAAATATTTCAAATAAAATTCATAATTTCTTTCAAATCAAGTTCATTTCGTTAAGACGTATTTTTTTATTCAATTTTGTATAAAATCTGTTGCTGTGTCTCTTACATTAAACAATTATCGTGTCATGATAATTGTAGTTAAAATGAAATAATTCACATCAAACAATGATTTAACAATTTAACTTTTTTTTTTAATTCAATTTTGTAAGTATACGACACTAATACCTTGTCTTTTTACAGGTGGAGAGACGCAGTCAAGAGCTGAATAATATGTAAAGTGTCGCCGATAGTGACGAATAGACGATACAAACACTTGGTGTGAGTGCAAGTGGTATTTAAATCAAGCAAAAATGGGCAAAAAAAATTCCAAACTGAAGCAAGATACGATCGACAGACTCACGAGCGCCACATATTGTAAGTATGGGCATACACTACATTGCTTATTTTATTTACATATGATATGTATATATTATATTTCATATATTCACATATTTATATATATTAGTCTCTCCCCGGACAGATTTACATGTGAATAATTTAATAGCAAAATGGCCGAGTTTGACAGCTTTATACCAAATTAAATTGACGATTACAGTTTTGATATGTAGAGCTATCCTATATACTCGTACAGATATAAAATCTTTTAAATATTTTACCTTGGTCAAATTACCAAACAGACGCAAACAAAATTACAAGTTTATATTGTCAGACGGACAGCAATGGAGTCCTGTGTCTTGTTGTATAAAACAAACGCACTTATTTCATTCACATCATTCACAGCTATTTACATTACTTATTCATAATGTTCGGGAAACTAGCAACTTCTATTTAGGAATATGACTGAGAACTTGTCTCTCTAAAGCCAGGTCAAAACTTAAAAGCCAGGAGCTTTCCAGGTTCAAAGCTTTCCTGCCATGAATTGCCACGCCTTATTCTTCCCCTGCTTTTAATACAGCTCTCGTCGTAATGACATTTTTATGAAATGTCGCATGTTAAAAAGCACTCAAGACGTGCAGCAGTCATAACACTACAGCGCTTTTGAAACATAAATTCTTACTTATTATCTACACTTAGTTAATCCAGTCCCGTGAATAACCGATTTGAGCTCTATCAATTACCGCCGCCTCGCTTTATTTAGCATTTTACAAGACAAGTACGAAACAAGACTAAAGTTTCGAGATACATTATACAAGTTCGCCGAAATAAGCTCAAGGCCACAGGCAGCAGCCAGGCTCAAGGTTTGTTTATGGAATACATTCCTGTGATACGAAATAAAGTTATCAATTAAATAATAACGACGGTGAATATTAAAGTTTTAAATAGACTTAAGCACATGCTTACATAGCATGTTTTGATCAGTAATGAAGCGGTGAAAGTTTGCGCGCAACGCAACGTAAAACAATAAAGTTTATTTTTTACTACAATCGCTTTTGAATTCGCGATGTATCATTTTGAAGAAACCGGTAATTGGAAGTTTATTGTGTAATAAATAATGACATAAATTCGACAATGGCTCGACTCGGCTCTGTAGTAATTGTGAAGTGTTGCCGAATAAGTAGCGAACTTAGCTTTATGGCGAAGTTAAGTGACAAAGTTTGACGGCTGGCGCCTTTCGGACTGAAGCTCACGACGACGAGAGCAATAGCCTACGCAATGCAGCTACAATGTCACCAAACCGCGTCGTAAATCTTATTCCACAATCTGTCAAAATTCGTTGTTGAAAATTATACCTGTAACGGATGTACTACATCTACACCAATCAATTATTACATTCTTTAATGTCATCAGTTTCCCCTAACTCACCTGAACAGCACTACAACAACTATTAAAGCCTTTATTATTTCAGTTGGTACTTTCGAAATCAATTACATCAAAAGCCGCAAAAGAACGGAATCACTGGGTCTCAGTAGTGCGTGTTCTATTATGAGGTTCTCTAATAGTGTGGCTATTGTAAGGGGCTAATCTATCCTGTCTGAAACAAATAAAATGTAAAAACGAGGACAGTGTTACAGGGGGTGGAGCTTAGGGCGGGTGTCAGTAAGGGAAATGCCATGCCTAGCCGACACCTAAGGTTGCGCAAGTGTCTTTCGACACGCGATCCTAACACGCCATTCATAGACAGTTGTTCGTAAGACCAACAACTATGTTAGTATGTACTTACTTGAAAACGTAGCCCACGATACATTCTTTTATTTTATAACTTTTGAAAGAAATAAACCAAATCTTTTCTCCGACTGCTTTAATAAGCGAGTCCCAAGAAATTGCTGCTTGTAGTGGTGGAGATTCAAATCCACTATCAAATATATCCAAAATAGTGGTTTGACGACGATCTTTTTATCAGTGTTTGCTTGAGTGTTTTTCCGTATTATTTCTTCAGTTGTCACAATACCGTATTACAAAGATCATATTTTATCGTAGTACTTACAATTATAAAAAAAGTGAAATACATACAAAAATTTACTTTTAAGATAAATTTTCAAAAATTGTTATTCCTGCCGTATGAGTTTGTTTCAGCTATCAATTGTTTGAAAGGTGTATTTATATATCATTACTATGAATGAACAATAGCTGTACCTATCTAGCGAAATATACCATTTTGGATTATTTTATAGACCCCTGTGTCTTTGTTCCACTCCAATGTACGTAAATTAAAAAACTTTAATAGAGAGCTTTATTTTTCTTTATTCTTGATTATGTGGACAGGTTTGCAATGTTCAGAGGGGCTCTTGTATATATATAGTACCCGTATTTAGTACCAATAGGAGTGTAAAGCTAGACACGCGTGACGAGGGTGTGTGGCGTCATCCGAACAATTCCCTCACTTCGTACCGGCTCCCACAACATCTATCATTCTCTATAACAATGTGTATTAATCGTAAATTTGAATAACGCAGAAAAATGCTCGAATACTCTTCAATCAGCAGAAATAACACGCACCTGACCGTCATTTAAAACGATCCGAATGACATCCGCCAAGTCTGCGAAATTTCTGTACTGTGACATCTTCTATATAGCTCAAGAATTGGGTCCTAAATGTCCTCCATAAACGAGCCGGCGGTTAAATGAAAAAAAATTATTATAAGAATGAAATTTGTTTAGTTGTATAATATTTTAGGTAACGTGGATGGATAGAATTTAAATAAAAATACTAAGGCTTCCTATAATTTGCTAAGTACGTAGCCTGTAGTTCACATAATGAAATACTGAGGCAAATTATAGGACTAAACATGAACAACTCTAGCTCCTCCATATTCCGGTTAAATTGTTGCTACGTTAATTGGACACCTATTATTGCACTTTTAGGTATAGTTCTATTGTGTCACACTAAACGTAAAATTAAACTTTAACTGGAGTATGACCTATACATAAGTTTCTTCAAGATAGTTTCCTCTAAATATGTTTATGAATATTTTCAGGTTTTATAACAAATGATATAAAGCATTTGATAAAATTGCCATTAAATAATATTTCAAGAGAAATACAATCTAGACGTTCTTTCATATCTATTGTATGCGTGATTGAAAATACCTAGTATTTAGACACAAAACGATCCAGTAGGAAATAAATAAAACTGTCTGGCACAATCACCCAGGGGTGACTAGGTATTCCTGTGGCGAACACGAATTGAGGCTCAATTTGACGTCGTAAAGACTAAGGACAGACCCCTCCGACACGCTACAGTGATTTCCATACAAGCTTAGTGCCGTCGACGCCACTCAGTCTGCAGCTACGAAAGTAAACAGGTTGAATATACATATATTATAATGTACCCTTATTCGGTTATCGAGATGATTCGCTGATGATGAATGAAATTTCGCGTCATCCGTCAACTGTATTTCCAATTGAATTTCCGAATAACGTCGAACCTAGATGTATTGGATTACCTCATAGCTGGTTCTGGCGATGGTTGAACTGCTGATAATTGCAAGTCGTAGTGTTGACTGCACTGTTGTGATTAAATCAAATAGACTACTAGGTAAGTTAGTAATATTAATATTTACATCATGAAAATGTTGCAAAACAAACAATTTCAACAAATCTATCAACTGGTCGGCGTATTGCGAAAACAGCGTGTTACGTATAGAAGTAAGTAATAAAACCCATGAAGATATCTAGTTTCGTGAAGGTCACCTTACGCCCCGTATCTCGCCGACCTTCCACTTCGCAATCTCGATACAAACAATGGATAAAATGGAGTTTACGATGACGTAGACTTGCCCTTGCCGACCGTCTCCTTATTCCACGTTTAAGTTTCTAGGCCTGCTACATATAGCTATTTTTATAACTGTAACGCTTCGTAACCCATAAAACGAGCTTGTTGTTAGGAAATTAAGTTCTAAGATTAAAGCGTGAATTCTCCTTCCCAGTTCCTTGCAATTTTCAAAATCTCACTGAAATCTTATAGGAGTCCGCAAATTCGTAAATGTTTCAGACACCTTCCTTAATATATTTATCTAACTTCACTATATTCGCAATCATGCGAAAATGACATGCTTCTTTTTTACTCATTTTATATTTCTTTGAGTAAGTCAAAATGTGATCACCCTGAGCCAAACAATAACGACGATACGGTAATTACCATTTTGAATGGGACTCTTGAAACATCTTAGAATCGTAAATGTGAATCGGCTTCAAGTAAATTTAGGCCTTGTGCTTTCATCACGCGCTCTATGTTGGCTTGAAACTTTGGTTTAATCTGAATTATCACTATGATTATGGGGCTTCGTGAATGGTAAATATTCTTTAATAGACTGTTTCTTCTTAATTAGTAAATCTTTATTTTATTTTATGTACTTGCGGTAATGTGGGCTTATTTAGCTTTACGAAAGGTTCGTAATATTGACGACCTCGGTGGCTCAACGGTTTGCACTGTGTGGACACTGGATGAGGAGGTCCCAGGTTCTATTCCCGGTAGGACCAATTTAGGAAATAAACTTTTCTAAATTAGTTCTGGTCTGGGTGTTCTGGGAAATCCGTTGCTCTGGTTTCATAGTACAGGGGATTTCTTAGTTTGAGACCAGTTAATTGGTGTGCTTCTGTATAAAGATACATATATTGCAAAGTTGTTCCCTTCAATACCTCTTGTTAATTTAATAGAAGTTTGAAGAGAATATTTATTATCAATTAATATTTATTTAGAGTATTTAATTGTATTTCTATTCCGTATTTAAGCAGTAATAATAAGAGACACTTTCGTTTTCAATTGACGTATACTGTGCACTTCACGACTGCTACATACTTGTAAGTAACACGTGTTGTAACATGGCTCACGCATATAATCCCGTAACGTGCAAATGTACTGGAGTTAGGAGAAAACAAATCACCGACACGTAGGTATAGGTCAGTACGAGCCAGTGCTCGATTCACGTGAGTCGGTATGGCCGCGGTATTATTAACGCGGAAAAGACAACCAT